AGCGGCACTGGGCGCATCGGGTTACGTCACGGTGGAAGACCTGGCGGATTGCTGGAACACCCCGGCGGCGGCCAGGGACAATTGGTCCCCGAAACCTGGGATTCCAGGATGGAGAGAATGGATTCAACGCCCAGACCTCGGCCTTCACGGCAATGCGCCTCCTTCAGGCAGTACGGGTGGCAGCAAACTTGGTCAGGGGGGGCAACCAGGGTGACCACCCGGCGGGCCATGCGGGCCCGACAAAGGCTCCCTTAGAAGTCCTGTGCGGCAGGCGCCAGCTGGAGGATGCTTACGTGGCCACGCATGGGGCCCCGAAGCCGAGGTTGGAATTCCAGGGTAGTGATGGCTACCTCAAGAAGCAATGGCGCATGATTGCCAAGGGCGAATTGGGCTACATCCCGGCAAAACACATCGTGAGCGCGCTCCCGGAAGAAGGGGAACGCCCTTCATCCACCCACAAGAAGATCACGGTGGACGGCTGGGACAGGGAGGATGAAGAAGAGGTGAGGAGCCACCCTACATCTCGGCGCCAGCTGGAACGATTGCACCTAACCTTCAGGACGACGCTCCTGATGTGCACGGCAGCACTGCCGCAATTTGGCAACCTGAGGGTCACCAAGCAAAAGTTGGATGACTGGTATGCCTGGTTCTATGGGGAGGACATAGCCGGCAGGAAACCTCCCCCGAGCGACACCACCTTGCTGTTTGCAGAGCGCAATGCATGGCGCAAGATTCACGAAATGGTGCACCAGGGCACCACTCTCTCCGAAGCCCTCAAGAACATCAGGGGCGACTTCCTCTTCTGGCAACGGGAGGTCTATGAGCACCTCAACAGGGCGCCGACGAAGGGGAAGAGCAAGAGCAAGGCACCCAAGGTGTGGCAGACTCAGTGGGAGAAGCCCAAGAAGGGGGGAAAAGGATCTTGGTCCTCGGGGCCTACCCATTCCAAGCCGAAGGGCAAGGGCAGCAAAGGGAAGTCCCCCAACACCTCCTCGACCCCATGGCCTGACCACTGGGCTTTCAAGAATCCCAAAGGGGTGGCGTACTGCAGGGATCATCACCTTCACAACAAATGCCCTGGATCATGCGGCCGATCCCACAACTGCCCGGTCAGGAAGGATGGGTGGGTGATGCCCCCCCAGCGAAGCATGTGCCACAAACATGCCCACACCTCCCTAAGTGACAGGAGGCCACTCAGGGTGCCATAGGCCCCGTGGCTGCCTGGTCTCCGAAGGGATCACAGGCCACCAGTGCGAGAGCGCACACAGCAGGGGAGAGCCAATCCCACCAGAGCCACAGCGGAAGGCAGACAGAGTTGGGGAGGCCAGGACGGCCGCAGGTGGGAGGGGACTTCTCCAGGGTGCCACCGGCCCCGGAAGCCCCTCCACCGAAGAAAGGGAGTGGATCCAGCCAGGGCACTCCAGAAGGGCGGAAGCACCCTTTTCCCCCGCACCCACCGAGGCAGTGGGAAGAACCCCCACAAAAAAACCCAGAGGTGCGTCGGACAAAGGACACACGGAAACCCCGGAAAGGACAAGCCCCACCTTCCCCTGGATGCAAGACACCCCGGAAAGACTGAGGCGCAGACTAAGGTGGACGCCACGACCGGTGCCGGAGTCGTCGAAGCCTCATCCTGCTGTACGCTGGGAAGGACGACGCGGGGCCCTGGATGCCTACCTCCATGCCTACAACCCGGCCTTCTCATACTCTACAATGTGCTCCATGGCCATGGCGGGTAAGGTCGCCTTTGTGGGGGGCGGCCCCAACTGCAGAACGTGGAGCATTCTCAGATGGTTCCCCAAAACCGGGAGGCCCGCCGCCGGGCGGGGGAGCAGACCCTGTGGGGCTTGGAGGACCTGGAGCCCCGGGTAATGGAGGACACGGACAACGACAGCGTGCTCATGCTCCGACAGATGTACCTGACCTTGCTGGCCTACCAAGGACTAGGCCAACGAACGGTCCCGCAGGTGGGCTCCTCCTTCCTGGAGCACCCCAATGGAGTGCAGCAAGAGCCCGAGCGCAGCGAGGTGCTCATCGATCTGGGTCACACGGGCCTACATTCAATGGGCGAACGCACTCCACCACTCCCTCATCAAGTTTGACGAGTGCCGCCTGGGCCAGGTGGTAGTGAAGTCCACGACATTGTCAACGGACCTTCCCCTTCACCATTGCGATGCAACCACGGAGCTCACCCCAGGGGGGAAAGGTGACCTCAGCCGGTACCCAGAGCAGGTCTCGCAGCGGCCATCTGCAGAGCGGGACCCGTCCTGGAGGCGCTGAGGCCGGGGGGCACGGTGCCGCAAGTGAACCCAAAGACCCCCCCGAGGCGGCAGAGGGAACCATCTCCCAGCACGCCGGGGGACAACAAGCGCCAGTCCCTGAGGCTGAAGGCCGGCCAACAAGCGTTGGCGGGACTAACCTTGGGCTCACGTCCGGTCTCGGCCTCAGACAACCCTGAGGTCCGGACACCAACACAGCCGGCGGGCAGGAAGGTCGAACTACGCCTTCAGCCGTGGGCGCGCCGTTGCGTGGAGATCTCGGATCGGCCCACCACCCTGCCGATCACGCACGACCCAAATCTCTCCGACAAGGTTATGTACCTCCAGATGGCCTTCAAACAGCGCCCCCTCAGGGACGGGGGTGGGAAGCCCTCACTTGGACGGCTGGCCCCGTGGACTCGGCCCCTGTCCAAAGCAGCAGCGATGGGGGCCGACCAGCGGAAGGCCAACCCTTCTTCCTGGACATCTTGCACAGCCTGGCGCTGAACATTCAGGACCCCGACCACCAGTTTCCTCGGGATCTGGAACAAGGGGTTCTACTGGGGGTCACGGACCCACCCCTAGCCTCGCCGGGCATCTGGCCACTCAAGAAGGAGCTAAGCGGGGAGCAGCCGGAGTTGCAGGAACTCCCTCATCCCACGGTAACTACCCCTCAGCGGATCACTTCAGTGAGCTCATCCGTAGCACATTCCTGGAGGAGGTCCCCATGGGCATGGTAGATGGCCCTCTCACCAAGGTAGAGGCAGCAGCGCGCTGTGGCTGCAATATGGAGGATCTTTGCCCAGGCCCCCTAGCGGGCATCGACGAAGGGGACAAGATCCGCACTATCTACGATGGCTCGGTGGGCGGGGCCAATGACACTATCAGGAACCAGACGGTGGAAAGGACGACGGCTCCGACGGTGCTGGATGGGGTGCAAGCTCTTCATTGGCTACATGCGGCAGCTGAGGAGGGACCTCCCTCTCAGGGTGGGTGCTGCTCAAGGCGGACGTCACCAAGGCCCACCGGAGAGTGAAGGTCCTCAGGAAAAACTGGCGGTTCCAGGTGGCCTCACTGGGGGAAGAATGGTGGGTGAACAAGGTAGGCACATACGGCATGGCCAGTGCCCAATCCTACCGGGGACGCCTGGCAGCCCTTCTTCTCAGGGTCCTCTACGCACTTTTCCCTCAAGTGGATTGGAACTTCGTCTTTGTGGATGACTTCCTGTGGCTGCTTCACAGCGAGGGGGCAGTAAACTTGGCGGTGGCGCTGCTGGCAACACTCCTGGCCTTGGGCACCCCGCTTAGCTGGAAGAAGACACATTTGGCGGAGGTCAACACGTGGCTGGGCTTCGTGGTCCACCCGAACATCCCTGCAGGTTCTCATGGCCGCCAACAAACACATCCTGGTGATGGAGGTCTTGCAGATCATGGTGGAAGGGCAGGCGATGCACTCAAAGGACATCGAGAAGGCCCTGGGCCGCATCCAATGGGCAACTGCTGCATGTCCGCTGGCGAAGTCGATGCTTCAGCCACTGTGGGCCTGGAAAATGGCCACCACCACGGTGGGGAAACCCCCTAAGGTGGTCAGGATGCTGGCGTTCATGCTGCGGTTCCTCTTCAACACACCCCGTCGTCCAGTACTCCCCTTACTTGCCGAAGTCCTCTTGGTGGGGTTGCAGCGATGCTAGCGCCTCGGATGAAGGACTGGCATTTGTGGGAGGCTGGTGCGCCAACAAAATGGAGCCGGATAAGAAGGAGGTGTACTGGTTCCATGAGCAGATCCACGTGGAGGAGTACCCGTGCGTGGGCATTCAAGAATGGGGATCCCAAGCGGAGGATTGCGGCTCTGGAAATGCTGGGCACGCTCTTCCTCTGCAACATGATCCTCACGCACCAAGGCCCTCTGTCCTCCCGGGTCCGACTCCCGGTGGGCAGTGACAATCAGGGCAACGTCATGGCGATGCTCAACCTTGGATCCAAGAAGCCCTACACCGCGGCTATCCTGATGGAGCTGGTCTTCCTGCTCCACACCCATGGCTGCTCGCTGGCGGCCAACCACGTGCCCCGGGAATTCAACCAGTGGGCCGATGAGCTGACGCACCCAGATTTCTCTGGGTTCGACCCTTTGCACAGAGTCCCTAAACAGGAACTCTGCGAGGAGTTCATTTTTCTCCCGCGTCTCCTGAATGGAGATGCATTTGATCTTAGCGTGGGCCCACCCATGCTCCCGTGACCGGAGCCGGTGGGTGACTCACTTCCCCTGGTGGCAGACCCCCCTGTGGCCTGGGTGCCCCGGGCCCCGGCTCAGGGGCGGGCGCTATCAGTCTGCACACCCGTTCTTCAGTTTTTGAGAGTTTGTGTTGGGTGGCCCATGGGGCCCACCCAGCCGTTGACATCTGACAGGGGAAGATGAGTCCCTGGCACCAACACATTGCTTGGATAAAAGAGTTATCGCAGACTAAAGTTGGTCGGAGAATGCGCAGCCTGAGGGTCGCCGCAAGACACGCCGCTGCAAAAGCAACCCCCGGCCAGCAGAAACCAGCTTCTGGGAGGTTTGAAGCTTTCCGGGCAAGTTGAGCGCAACTTCCAGCCGGATTTTCGCGAATGTTTGGCGTAAGATCCGCGAAAGTTTTTGCGAAAGTTGACGGACCTCCCCGCCAGTTTCCGGACATGAGGCCAACGGGTCCTCTCGTGTGTATAGCTCACGGCTTGTGAGCTGGAGCTGGAAGCGCGCTTCGCGTGCTACTTGGGAACTGACAGGTTGCGACTTCGAGCCGGAAGTTTACTTTGTACTACTTTCGTACTTAAAAGCTTTCGAGGCTGAGGGAACTTAGTTCGTGTACTACTTTCGTATTCAAGCCGGGCTGCGGAAGTTTACTTTTAGTACTACTTTCGCACTGAAGAGCTGCGACTTTCGAGCTGGGGCTGCGAAAGTGTACTTCGTGTACCACTTTTGTGATGAATGTTCTGAAAACAGCCCCGCGAAAGTTCCGCGATGGGGTCCGCGAAAGTTTTTCCTCGCGAAGATGGCGTTTTCCGGAAAAAGGAATTTCAGACAACCGTCATGTGTATATGAGGGCCGTCCTAAAACCCCAGTCTTCGGTTTTAATCATCGCCGAACAGGGAGAAGTAAAAGTTGTCAAAAGCTGTGCGCGCGCAAGGAGCGCGCAAGTGCGGCTCAAGGGACGCGCAAGGTTACAGTTTTGAATGGTTTCATGTACTGATGTTGCCTAGCTTCAGGAAAGGAGGTGATATTTTCTTGCTGTACTTGTGCCTCTCGAATCAGTCAGACGCCAAACGAAGCCAAAGCTTCTGCGGTCATGACTTCAACAATCAGCAATTGACACGACAAAATCCGCGCAAGCCGCGCGCAAGCCGCGCGCAAGTTGCGCGCAAGCACGAGAAGCCCCAGCAAGACATCTAGCCATGCTGTCTCGGATGTCCTTAGCGGCGCGGTTCAAGCAATGGATAGGCACCCGCAACATGCACTTTCTTTCTTTCAGGCTGTGTCCAAGCTGTGTGGCAGAGCCTGCTGTTCTTTCTGTTGGGTCAAGGGTATGTTGCTGGCATTGAGTTGCCGGGAGCGACCTCAGCGGGAAAAGTCTTTGTGGGTTGCTGTGTGAACGACAAACACACTGCTTAGAAAAGCTTGCGCGCAATCCACACGAAAACTTCGCAAACCGAGGTCAACGAAAACGAGTTTCTGCGCCACTGTGCGCGCCGTGCGCGCGCAAGTACGCGCAAGTGCCGCGCAAGCGCGGCCCAAGGGCCCAATCGCGGGCAAAGGAATATAGGACAACCCCCAGATATATATATATATATATCTGAAAAAAGATATATATATATATATATATATATATATGTACAAACGTACATACAGACAGACAGACAGACAGACAGACAGACAGACAGACGGACAGACAGACAGACAGACAGACAGACAGACACGCAGACACACAGTCACACAGACACACGCACATACGCACATACGCACATACATACATACATACATAGATTACTACCTACCTACCTGCGTGCGTACGTACGTGCATACATACATACACATGCATAGATACATAGATACATACATACATACACTGATACATAGATGCATAGATACGTAGATACATATGTACGTACATACATACCTACCTACCTGCGTACGTACGTACATACATACACACATGCATGCATGCATAGATACATAGATACATACATACACAGATACATAGATGCATCGATACATAGATGCATACATACGTATGTACGTACGTACACCGTACATACGTATCTACATTTTTACACACACACACACACACCCACATCCAATTTCGAAAGAGCAAAGACGATGCAGGGGCACCTAGATCAAGGTTCTGGACCCCAACTCCTTGAACCTCACTTTTTACGGGCGGTGCATAGAATTTCTAAGTGTCCAAACAGGGCCCCAGCTTTCGACCACACGCCACATGTACTTCGGGCCGCAGGTCGCTTCAAACGGACCCAGAACTGGAGAGCTCCATGATGTCTCTTGCTCAGCTGGCGTCGTCTATGCCAGAGCCCCTGTGGCTGCACGTTCTACCACGTTTTCTTGGGGGATGGGGCCCAACCCCATTCACAACAAGATCATTTTTGGAGTCTTTTTTTTGGGGGGGGGGTCCCCACCTTGAGGGGCTCTTAACAGGCGTTGGAAAGGGGGAACCGGCAAGAAGTCCACGGTTTCGAGTTGAGGGATTTGGTCATTTGATTTGCCCAGCTGCCAGCTGCCAAATTTTGGCGAAGCAACTCAAACCCTGGAAGCAAAACCCATGGGAGTTTGCAGGCGTCGGCGTTGGAGAGGCATAAACCGCCAACAAACTAAGACAAGATGTAGCCCTTATGCATGTGCATGCCCTCCATCCAAAAACCGGCGCGAAAATGGATCATTGCCTTGATCAGTTCGCCTGAGTTGTTTGCGGCAAACTGCGGGCAACTCGATCAGAGGCTGGGTGCAGCCTGGATGACCGGGCGGCCGCCGCGGGTCGTGCCGAGGGCTGAGTCAGGTCGTCGGAAGGAAGAAAGGCGTGCTACTGAATGAGATAGCTGTTTTTGTGTGATTTTTTTGGTTTAATAGGGCACCACCTCAAAAGTGGTTGCTGGACATGAATCCCCACCGAATTCTGATGTCGAAACCCGGATGGGAACCCAGGATGGTTCATGAATCAAGCCTGGTTGATTCAGAGAGGGGCTATCCCATGCAAGAGAGTCCTCACAATCAACCAGGTGGATTTCGGGCACGAAAAACTGCTCCCATGGCCGGAAAGGAATCCGAAGGAACAGAAAGCCACCAAGCCGCGCGATGGATGTGAAGGTTCTTCACATCCTTTTTGTGAATGGTTGCTTCATGGAATGCCACCGCTCGTAACGAGTGAATGCCAGTCCAGAAATGCCAGATTCGAACGATGTTGTTTGCAATTCACTGATGTAAATCTCCCCCAAACATCTGGTTGTTCCCTAAGGTGTTGTTCTCCCCAAGAACTTGATGACACAATCTGGGAGGCTGATGTAGCAAGTTCCTTTGATTCCCAGCCAACTTTGGTTCATCGGGAGACCTGAGGCTGCCGCACTGCAGCAGTGACGACTTCCACGGGGCGTTTTGGTGGGAAGGAGTCAGCAGCCCCAGCAGTGAGCTCTGGCTGTTCGAGCTTCTGGGCAGACTGGAGGCGAGAAATTGGGAGCTACCGGCGGAATGGGACTGTGTCTCAAACTGGGCTCGTCTTTCTTGGTGCTTTTTGGTTGGTGTTTGAAAATAAGCAAAAGGAAAACCGCCGAAATCGGCGGTCCCGTAAAAAGTGACGCACCCAAAGAGGGACCAGAACTTTCCAGATGCATGGCGTCCCTTTGTTTTCCATTTGTGCCCTTGTTTGAACGAAGTTACGCTGACAAGCATAGGGCTGGCAAACAATTCTGCAAGAGGGAACTCCTCACGGAAACCCAAAGCGAATCGATTGCATCCAACCTTTTGGTTTCCAAAAAGGTGATCGCCTGTTATTTCCGTGTCCGTTTAGGGCAAGCCAGAATCCAAAACTAGGTGGTCGAACTCAGGAGAAGGCGAACCATTGGGCCAGTTTTTCCAAAGCTGGTTGGTCCCGTTAGACACACCAATAGGAAAGCAAAGGGAGCCATGGCTTAAATCGGCTGGTGTTTGACGCGTTCAGATCAAACAACCCCTGATTGTTTTCAGCCATTTTGACTGTGCTTGTTTGTTTAAGGAGGGTGATTTGTTGTTGTTTTGTTCATGCGTTGTGTTTTATTATTATTACTATTACTATTATTATGTGTTCGTTTAAAGCAAGCCCAGCGTGTGGTTTGCCGATTTTTTCACCGGGGCTGACAGCCCGGAGGTTTTTTCTTTCCGCGAAAGCGATAGGAGAGCAGTCGCATGGTGGTGGCCTTGAGACCTGCGCCCTACTACATGCTGGCGCCCCGGCTCTTGAGTCGACGCCCCGTTTCAGCCGGTTCAGAGCCTGGGCTCGGGGAAAACGCGGGTGGAAAACGGGTGGAAAACCCGAGCGGGGAAAACGAGGGCAGGAAGGAAAGGCTTCAGGTTTTGGAGGGTCTCCTTTTTTGTGTGTGTTTGGCGGCCTTGTTTGGGTTGGCTACCACTAACCAAGAATCGCAAAATGCCCATGTTTGCATTGTTTCGACACAAGCGTGTGTCTTTTTTTTACTTGGTACAAGTTGTTTGGTTGTAAAGGAAGACCAAAAGGAAGGCCACAATTTTGGGAGCCCAGATAGACACCCATGTGGAGGAGGGTGGGTTGAGGGTACCTTTTTCAGGCTGGGTTTACAGGGAAACCACTGGTGGGAGCCGACAATTTGTTGTTTCTGGTGATTCAACTCCCCCTGTTTGGACAGATAACCATTTGAGGAGCGGGGGTTCCCCAAAAGCGGTTTCTTCTTGTCTCTGGCAACTGGAGGTCAGGGATTGATGTGTTGTTGTACTGGTGCAGAACCAAAAGCCATGGCAGTGTCATGGCAGGCGAATGGACCAAGAGAAACTCTTACGGGATGTGAAGAACCATTCAGGGACAGGTGACATGGGTCGTGTTTGTTGGAGAACCGAAGGTGGGGTCGTCTCAAAATAGCAGGATTCCACAACGGTGGGCTTTTCCAGCTGTATTCCCTTGCTCGGAGGCATTGTTATGGGTCCCTACTAGGGCCGTGGCCATGACACAGATTTGTCTGGAGCATGGCTCATATGGGTGTTGGACGTTTGTTGTCTTTTTCAGGTTGACCAACCCCCAAAAAGGGCAGCCCCTCAAAAGACGAGCCATGGTGCTTTCGATCTCGACGGCTCGGAGCCCCACAGCGGCGCTGCTCAGGTGGAGGAGCGCTGCGAAGTGTCTGCGGAGATTCCGCTGCTCCACGACCCCAGCCGATGCCTGCAAGATGTAGGCGCCAGCGAGCGGAGAGTTGACACCGGGCCATCTGCCAATTGTGCAAGGAATGAAGCAAAATTTCGAGCGAATCGACCGGATCCAAGCTGTTGGTTTCCCTGATTCGTTCCATAGTCAAGGGGCCAAAAGGTCATAGGTCCCTTTCGGGGCAAGTGAGATCACCCTTGCTCCCAGAAGGCGCCTGGAGGGTACCTTGAAGAGTCTCAAAAGTCTCTCTGCAAAAAATTGGTTTAGTGGGTCCCATGTGAATCCAGATTTCCTTGAAGAGAACCCGCTCCTTGAAGATAGAATTGAGGGGGGCTCCAAAGAAAACGAACACCCCCCTCATGTGTTTCAGGGCTAGAGTACGATTCGCAAACGAGAAGTTCCCTTATTATTGGGCGCCATGACACGTTTGTGAAAGCAACGAAGTACCAACTACTCGGACCAACAGATTGTTTATGCAAAACCTCGGGCCTTTTTTCCATCTGAACTTGAAGGAGTCTGCGGCACCCCAAGTCCTCGAGCGGTTCAAACGGAGTGCATACCTTCCTGCACTTAGTTGATCTTGATTTGGCCCAAAAAGTAGTTCCATGTATTTCAATGTGGTTGGAACTATCCATGATTCGCTTCCATCTCGTGGAATTTCTCCAACTTGGCCGAGGGGGCTGGGACGTGGTCACCATGATCGATGACCTGCAGAACATCACCTCCGTTGGCTCCGTGCAGGGCCGGGTCCCGGACAGCCCGGGGAACGACACTTTCGTGCTGGAGTACGACGAGGAGCCGTTGGGTTGGTTGGAAACGTGGTGAAACCAACCCCCTGGTCCAATCCCTAAGCGACCCCCTGGTTTGAAGGGAAAGCAGAAGGAGGTTTTAATAGGGGTGTATTGATCCAAATTGTGTAGAGTCCTTCAAAGGGGAAGCCAAAAAGGATGTTGTTTGACCATGCTTGGGTGGGTTTCATTGCCGAAGCCTGTGAGGAAGGCAAAGTCACCAGCAAGAAGTATGGGAAGGTGGTGCTGAGCCCGAAGATGGCGGGGCAATGCGGGGGGGGGTGGAGGGGGGGAGGGGGAGGGAAGGGAGGGGTGTGTAGAAAAGGGGGGTGCGGGCTATTCTCCAGCAGGAAACCACAAAACAAAAGGTGCCTCCCTTTGAGGCCATCCCAAAAAGGGAACCTTGCAGAAACAAGACGTCCTGTGGAAGGTGGCACGCGGGTGCTCAAGCGTAGAACGCGAGCGGGGTTGGGGAGCGGGGTTGGAGCTTCCTACACTTCCAGGATCCTAGAATGGACAAAATGGAGACCCTGGACCCTGTTTGGTTGGCTACATGAACAAAGGCTCCCTATGGGCTCGTTCTCCTGAGTGGCTTCCTGCGGGCTCCCTATTCTGCGGTCTCAAACGAAGGCAAGCCTTTTGGAGGGTAAAGGGCAGCCAAAAGGAAACCAACCGCCTGGAGTCCTTCATCTTGAGTCACACCCTGTTTTTTTTTTATGGGACCCCAAAAAGTGGTGCAGCTTTTTCCACCCCGAAAAGCGGGGATACGGTATCCGGGTACCCATAGCCTCAAAGCCATGGCCGCATCCCTTTTCAAGGGCTCGCTGCGCCAGGGCGGCCGGGTGGCGATGCTCCCGAAGACGGCGGATCTGGTGGTGGTCTCTCCACAGGCGCGAGGGATGGGGAAATGCCAATTGGCGCGTCCGAGGGGTCGGTTGCGAGTGGGGTACTGGGTGGTGGTGGTTTTGGACCTTTGGCCCACTCCCTGAGTTTCCCTATTTTAGTGTCAAATAGAGAAGAAGTTGGGACTTAAGTGAGTTTGCGAGTGGGTCAAAAGGGTGTTCATCCCTTGACGTTCAAAAGGAGGAGGGTCAAAAGGCACAAGTTCCGCAATGGTTGGGATGGATTCAGGCGGGGAACTGCTTCGACGTAGCGGACATGATCCCGCCCGGGGGCCGCGGCAATGCTTTTCTTCTGGTGGTGCCCATTAACCCCTTGTACGCGCCCCCCACGCGGGTCATGCCGGACTACACCCGGATCAGGCGGGCCCGATGCTCCAAAAACAATTAAAAAATGGGTGGAGTCCGTTCCCGCTGTCAACAGCCCCAGCTTCAACCAAATGATGCAAATGACGGCAAGTTCCGAACCCCCTTACACTGGCAGCTTGGCTTCTGATTTCGGGGACACCAAAGGCCATCAGCCCAATGGTCTCATTTTGGTTCATTTGATACAACGCGCCGTGGCCTGGCTTTCCCCGTCTTTGCCCCTCCTTCTCGCGTCTTTGCTTCTCACCCTTGGGGCAGAGGCGGTAGAACCTGGCAAAAGAACGCCGGTTCCGCAGCCTTCTCAACGGTCCAGTAACAAATCAATGCCTCAACGAAATCGAGCGGGTTGATGAAAAGGTCCGATGAACATGGGATGACGACTGGTTGGAAAGTCACCAAAACGACTTGAGCTGTTCCACATGGGAAAAGTTACCCATGGTCATTTGGTGGCCCTAAATGGATATTGATCAACCCCCAGGTAGGAGCAAACACCAGTCACCCGGGTGAAGAGGTCCAAAAAGCCCTCCAATACGGGCGCTTGCGCTCGTCAACCTGCTGGTTGGGACAAGAAGCTCTTCCTTGAGTACTCCAAACAAGAAACGGGCACCTGGCTTTTTCTTGGAACCTTTGCTTGAACCTTAATCCTTTTTCTAGCCTTGTGTCTTTCTTTTCCACCTTGGAAGCTAAAAGACAAGAGGGGGAAGTCCACTGGAGCTCATCAGAACTTCAGACAATTTGTCACGTTTTGGGCGACCAAAACAGAGTGACCTCCAGTACCGAGTTGGCACGTCTCAGGAAAGCCGCTGAAAACGCCATTTGCGCTGGTGTAGTAATGTCTCAACGAGCATAACCCCAGATGCATCCAAGCCACCCCCCAATGGTTGAAGGGACTCAAACCCCAGGCCCAGTTTCTAACTATGAAAATTGTGCTTCCTCTTGGCTCTTGATGATTTTCTGGACAAACGACTCCCTGAAGGGACTGGGAAAGTGACCTCCGGAGAAGCACATGAGACATAGACGCCACAGAACAGCGCATCAAATGCACATGTCAAGCACGGAGAGATGTTTTGGGTAGACTTTGAAGATATGGCCATGGTTCAAAACCAATGGTACCATTTTGGGATAGGTGCACCACGCATGTTGGTCTATTTTAGTGGGGATTGGGATGTTCACTAGGGGTACGATTTGGGTTTTGACCCATGGCCATATTTTTTGATTGCGGCATCCAAAACATCCAAACCAGAGGCCCATTTCCGCACCCAACTCCAGGGAGGCCTTCGATTCAACACGTGAGGTTCGAGCTCCACTTCATAGCGGAGGACATCACCGACAACCACAAGCTTCAGCGGCTGCTTGTTCGGAACTAGTGTGGTCAAATAGCCTAAAATGGGGCGACCAAAGGTTGGGACATGTTGGGACCAAGCTGGTTTGGAGCAAAGTATTCAGTGTTGGGACGAGTCAACTTGGGTATACGTGTTTGTCTTGGAGTTCCCTTTTTGTTAAGGTTGGTTTCAAGGGACTCTCAAGGGACTCTCAAGGAACTCTTTTTGGGCCCCATTTTAGCACATGTTACCGGATGACTCAGGCTTGTTGGAAGCCACTTTGGGGGATTGCCCCCCTTTGACCACCAGCCAAGTTCGGAACCGGATTCCACCCGGAAGAAGTCCATGTTGCGGGGAGCCCCGATTTGCTCCGACGCCCCGCGAGGCTGCTGTTCCTGGCCCACTGCTCCCTGCAGAGCGCCGTGGATCTCCTGGCGCCGCGCTACGTGCTGCTCTTCGTGGACGGCGCCCGGGCCATCTTCGCGGAGCAGTCCGTGGCAGGGGCACCCGGCAAGGGTCATGGGGACCCGGCGGGTGGTGGGGCCAAAGGGAAGGGATGGGCCGGGTGGTTGGCAGTTGGAGTAAGGGAATGTTGCGGCCCGCTGGAGAAATCCAACACCTTCGGGTTGGAGTCCATTTTACTCTAACAAGTGGAGCCCTCGGGCGCAGACGCTGAGCCAAGGCCGAAACTGGTTTGCACAAACACCCCCACGAATATTCGCAGGTGGATGTGGGGTCGACTTGACCTTTTCACAGTGTCCCTTTCTAACGAGTGCCATATGTTTTAAGGATGCTTCCCCCGCTGGATTTTTTGTGTTTTTAATCCAGTCGCCTGGAAAGCAAGCAAAGCAAAGCACCGCAAAGCAAAGCAAGCAAGCAATACACCCCCCCCCCTATACCCTAAACACAAAGCCACCTACCCAACACCTAACCTGAAGCCATCTGGGACCTACTCTAAACCTACCCTAAGCCCACACTAAGCTAACCCTAAACCTACCTTAAACCCACGCTGAGCCCACCCCGAAACAAGCCGCAAACCTACCCTAAACCTACCCTTTGCTTAGCCTAAGCATACCTTCAACCTATCTGATCGTACCTTGAACCCCATACACCCTAAGCCCAACCTCCAATCCAAGCACCTCAAGCTGCGCCTCGCGCACCCAGGCTGCACCACACAACCATCCCCCCAGCCAGCCTCGCATGCCCACACCACATGAGGCAGCTTCTCACAATCGTCTTGGTTTGGGTCTGTAGGGTTGGTTGAGTTCAGGATTAAGGCCAGGTTTAGTGCGGTTTAGTGCTTAGATTGGATTTGGGTTGGGTTTAGGGCAAAACCTATGTGGTCAGTACTAAATGGGAACAGTAGAAATGCGTTCGGCAGGTTCGCCTAGCCTGCTGGGGTTCGCGAGGGGTTCGCCTAACCTCCGTGGGTTTGCATAACGCCGGCTGGGTTCGCAAGCTAAATGTGCCTTTGCAAAAGTTCGAACGGCTTGGTTGGGTCCGCAAACGTTCACAAAGCCTTTTGGATTCGCACATGTTCGCCTAAACCGTTCTAGTGCACCCACAGTCTAAGGTTTGCAGAAGGTAGTTTTGCGTGCTCAACTTGTTTAAAAGGTGCGACACACCCCGCGCGCAGGGGTTCGGTTCCAATCGCCCAGGCTCACCGGTACTGCACGCCGGTCAGCGGCGGAGAGTCATGCGCGCCACTGGAGACCTTGTGGCGGCGAGGGGCCGCATGTAGTCCCATGACGCTGCATCTCATGCGCGCTGGCGCGCATGTCTTGGAGGAGGCGCGTTTACGTCAGGACAGCGGCTAGTAACAAAGCCATGGCTCCCTGAAGCGGTCTTTAAGCTCGACCGCCATGTACCAAATGAAAGGGGATTTCTCAGAATCTTGGACCCCTTGCTGGATGGTTTCAAAGAGAAGCCAAAAGAAGACCATTTTGGGGTCCACGTGTGGTACCATCTTACATTTTTCTCCTTCACCATGATTGCACACAAAGATCCTACAGGAGAATGGTTCCGGGGCTGGGCTGGACTAAACCCACGGCTATGAATTGATTAACGTCAAGTTTTTCTTGAAAAGCGAATCCTAAGCTCTGGTCGCCAGAGATTCCGGAATCGCCGTCAGGCGGCCTCCTTGGCGGAGTCGGCCTGGCCCTGCGAGGATTACAAGGCCTTTTGGGCTCGGTTCCCCGAAGCCTTTCAGGGAAACCAAGCAGGGATACAGGGGGAACCAGGGATACAGGAGGATTCCCAATACGCCTTGACGAGGTTTGATATGGGAGCCCCCTTTTTTTGGTTGGTCTTAAGGGGAAGCAAAAGGAAAGAGACAATATTTGAGGTACCCTCAAAAAAGAACACGCCATACATCTCCTTGCTTGGTGGTTTTGATTTTTTTCTGATTCTCAGGGAATGAGGGAATCACTCATGAACTTTCCCATGCACTGGATATAGAGGGATTCATCGGTTCATTCCCAAAAACCCTCTTGATTTCCTGAGATGCCCTGAGAACCCGCGAGTTTTCCAGGCGTCCCTGTATGTATCTCCTGGTTTGGTTTTGAGCATAGGCCCAACACGTCTGGGCCCCTACAAGGTGTCCCTTGGTTTTTTTACTTCCATTTGGAGCCTTACGTGAGACTAATCCTTTGGGCGGGGTGTGGTTAGGGAGAATGTCCGGGGCCCTGGCGGTTTTCCCCGGTTGCCTGCTGGTGGCATGTTGAAATCCGCTTGCGCAACATTTGATCTGTTGGGAGTCCGGTTTTGCCAGCCATGAAAATGACATCCGAAAAGGAGGGCCTAGTTTGGAGTGGGGAAGGGAGCTTCCAGGAATCCACTTATGCTGTCTGGTTCCTCTTTCGAAGCTGGGCGCATATCAGGGCAAGGTGGAAGCATGGCAGCATGGCCATAGGTAGCGCCCTGTTGGGCTTCTTGGGTTTGCTTGTGTTGTGAGAGGGCACCATGAAACCACCAATATTCCCAAAGCGAAGACTCACTTGCCACATCGAGTCGACTGTTTTGACCTTTTGGTTTCCCTAATTTGGTCCATAGTCAAGGTTCTAAGAAGGTGATCACCATTTATTTCCAGATCCAAACTGGGCAAGTGAGAACAGGAGACCAGCCATTTCAAGTTGGAAAGACATTTGTTGCCTTTGGGATTCCCTTTAAACGCCCCCCACCCCACTACCCCCCCCGCCCCACCCCCCACCCACCCGCCCCCAAAACGCGCCCCGGGTGTCAATCAACTCAACTCGCGCGCAGTCCTTGGAGCTGCCGGAGGTGGCGAGCCATCAGATCGACAAAAAGATCCCCTCCAAGAGGTGGGGAGCTCTCGCTGGCGCTGGCGAACGAACTTCGGCCTCCTTTCAAGACATGGCTTATCATGGCATGTGGCCATGATTTGTTTAAACATTTTGGTATGCCTAATTCGATCATTTTGATGGATGAAGACAAGAAACTCCAAGACCTTCAGGGGTTGACTTAGGGAATTGTCTCCCCCCTCAAGCAAATAAGAACCCAGGTGGTATCCCTAAGCGCGGGAAAAGCTCCAAGACCTTCGGCCAGGAAGGCCGGCAGTGTTTGAAGGCGTCCTTTTGACCGTTTTTTTCTGGGTTGGAGCCTGGCATCTGGATTCCCGTGGGCCAGGGCCACACGGATCGCACACTTAAAGCCACCAGGGAGGCGATGGAATGGTCGATTTGCTGGTTGGCCTTCCCTTTTCAAGGCTGCTGATTCCCTGAATCATAGCCTCCACACACGTATTTTGTTTGTGCAACCCTTGTCCCCCTTTGATTCCAGTTGGTTCCCAATTTACACGTCAATCAATGAAGAAACTGAATATGCCCTTGGACAGAAAGCACTGAGCCAGCAAGTTTCCCGACACGAGCCAACCTTAAACCAACAGAACCAACCCCAAAGCTACTAGGGTCCTTCCGTACTTGGGTAGAACCAGGGAAGCCCCACCATTTTGGGGTAAAGGCCCGGAGTTTGAGACAAATCCTTTTCTCAAATCCACTGGACTAAGCCGGAGGTCGAGTAGCTTCCGCGCCAGGGAGCTCTATGCTGAGCACCTGGACTTCTGCGCCGGGCTGATCCCTGAGCTCGAGGCGCGGACCCTGGGCTTTGGCCAACCTTCGGCAGTATGGTCGGTGCTTTTTTGGGGATACCCCGTTTTGGGGGGGGGGGGGTTGTTTTAAAGGGAAGCCAAAAGGACACCAGCCACTGTTGGTGGTCCTCTCTTTTTTTTATTTGTGACACATCCGTGTTTTTTTTGGCCATAGGGGCCCGGAAGCTTGAAGGTGGCGCCCCTGTTTTTTTGGACACCATTCAGCTAAGTTTCATTTTAGGACCCCTTTGATCAATCAAAACCGAAGCCGGCCCCCGCTTTAAACCACCTACACACCATTTGCACAGGCAACTTGGAACGTGTCAAAGCCCCCCCCCTTCTCCCCCCCGGGGCTCGCTTGGGCCTTAGGTCAGGGATCCGGCCTCCTGGCCTCATGTCCCGGGCCGCCGGCACCTCAGATCTGGGGCTTGGTTCGGAGCGACGGAGCGAGTTTGGGATATTGGACGCCCAGAAACACGTGGGGCGAGGCGGTTTCTCCTGGTTTCCTGTCTTGTTTGTTGGGGGAGTGGTGGAAAGTCCGTTAAAAATCAGCCACCAAAGAAAGGAGTACCCTTTTTCCCATTGCCACTGGGCGTTTGGCATGGCGTTTGGCAAATGGCCCCCAGGATGAAGTGAAATCATGCAGTTTGGTAGAGAAGAGTCGGTGTGTCTATATTGGCAGGTGACAACTTTGTTCTTAGGTCAACAATCGTGATTTGTACAAGTTTTGTTCAACCCCCCTTTCACAGGAGTGGTTAGTCCACCAAGGTTGCAACCACCCCCGGCCGAGGTCAGCATTTGCTGGGCAATCGTGGGCATTGCCTCATAGAGGAGGGTTTCTGCGCGCCAGCCCCAGATCTCGATCTACGGATTGCCGACGTTGCAATCCCTTGACGTGACAACAGCCTTTGATGGGCTTCAAAGGGAAGCCGGGCAGAAACCTGATAAGGGCAACTGACTTGGTTGCATGTGAGGGGAGGGATGTTTGAATCGAAGGCTTCGACCATAGCGAGCAGCTGCGTGTCACCGCGGGCAGCGCGGTTTCCTTTGCCAGGAATGCTTCCCGCCCTGGCGGGGGCCAGCCTGCGACCAGCCGGATTTGCCCAGGGTGGAAGGTCCGCCGCAAGGACGGGGTGGGAGTTGTGGGGAGGGTGGGAGAGGAGCGAGGAGGGTGGGGTGGGAGTTGGGAGGGGGGGGTGGAGAGCGGTACCCCATGGTTCTGGAGAATTCTCGATTTCTGGTTGCCTCTTTCTGCAAGTGGCCAAAAATGATCCAGAAGGGTTTGCTTCCAGATTGCACTATGGGCTTCGCTACCCAAAGGAAATACGGGTCGGCGCGCAGGCCTCTGTTGGAAGGCTACTTGTGGAAGGGGATGTCGCCAAACTGGGTCTTTTAGGAGGGCGAGCTTCGAAGTAGTTGAGCACTTCCAAAAGAATTTGAAATTCGACCCAAGCGTAGACAACGATCCTGGGTGTGCTTTTTGTTGGAGTTGGCGCCGTTTTGAGGCGTGTTCATGCCTAGCTTGGTTCTTTTCTGAGTGGCATAGACCCCCTTTGGCCAGAGTCTTTTTCCTGGAATTCAACCACTGGGAGCCTTGAGCGCTGTTGGGTTGGTTCTTTAGAAGGTTTTTTCCACTAGACGCCCAAAGAGTTAAACTTTGTGCAGGGGCTGAACAACAACCAAGTTTTGGGGCTGGCAGTGAGCCCAGTGAGCCCAGGCGAGGGGAGCGGCACCATCATCGTCACCATGGCATCCATGGCGCGGCTGCACGAGCTACACTTCGGCTTGGCCAACTGGCGGGGACGGTTCGACGTCGAAGATCTCGGTGCTGGTGACCCCATCCCGTGTGGCTGTGGGTCCAAACCAATGGTACCATTTTGGGGTAGGTGCACCACCCATCTTAGTCTATTTTAATTGGGATTGGGATGTTCACTGGGGGTAGACCCATGGCTGTGTGGCTTCCTGGAAAATCCCTAAGAGTATGAATCCGTTGATTCGCTGAGAACCAGCACGACGAGTCCAAATGCTTGCAAGTTTGCCATTTATGAAACTCACTGTTACCAACTGGTTGAGTGGCGTTTGTTGTGAACCATATGATTTTAGGATGTATATTCGTTTGGGCGGGGGATTCTGGGATCAATGAAACCAAGCCCGAGAAAAGTACGAAAAAGCACTCTCTTTGGACAGTTTTTGAGAAGGATCGCTAAATATGATGGCTAGGCTTGGGTCAGAAAATCACCCCCGTGAAAAGAAGACTCGAATTTGGGGGGGGGGCCTGTTTTCGACAATCAGTGTGGTTGGGTTCTGTTCCTTTCGAGACCCCGGTGGCGTTGAGTTGGCCTCCAAATTGTGTCTCGCTGGTTTGGACATGCCTTTCGTGTCCCCCAAAGCATGTCCCCTTGAAAGTCAAGAAAAAGGAGCTCCAATCCAAAAGGAATCCAATCTTGGAACCCAAAACGATGGTAAGATGGAAAATGATCTCTGTCTTCAAGACTCTTCCAATCCAGGCGACCATAAAACCAAGGAGGTCCCATCCAAGGGTCCGGGGCTTGGTCGACGTCACGGCAGGTGGGAGAATTTCAACCACCGCTTCGACCACCCGGTGCTCATCTTTCACCAGGGCCTCTCGCCCAGTCAGGCGCAGACCAATTTTGTTCAGCAGGTTCCTTCATGGTGGGTCTGGATGGCTGGTTTACTTGCTGGTCAGTAGGGAATGAGGGGATGGACCAGGGGGGTCCCCTCAAAGGAAACCACAAGGGATGGTGTATAAGGGACCTTCCCTCCTACTGAGCACCAGCATGTTTAGGGTTCTGGGGACCACTGTAGCGGTTGGTCTAGATGTTTCTCAAGCGTTGGTATGGTTTTGGGCTGGGTTTGACATTGGTTTAGGGTGGGTTCAAGTTGCGGCTGGAGGTAGGATCGCTTTTGCGGTTGTTGGTCTACTGATGGTTTTCGTTTTGGGTTGGCTGGCTCGCTGGCTGGCTGGCTTCCTGGCTGGCTTCCTGGCTGGCTTCCTGGCTGGCTGGCTGGTTGGTTGGTTGGTTTGGGGCGGTTCAGGGATGTTCTGGGTAGGTTTTGGAGTGGGTTTTTGGTTCGGACCGCTTTGTGGCTGATCTTGGGAGTGCCTTGGGAGTCTTAGATGGTCCTCAAGCTTAGGGTTCATGGGTTGCAGAGAGAAATGGGTGGGTGGGTTGGGTATGGTTCGGTCTCTGGCTTTGAAGCCAATGAGCAGATGATGGCCATTTCACGAAGGTGTTCAAGAACCTCTTGGGCCGCCGGCCGGTTTCTTGCTGGATCTTGCTTTGAGAAGTGTCCTGAAGAAACGGCGCGTTCCGATTTGTTCCGAGGTGACGTTTGTTTCGATGTGACTTACGCCATGTGACGTTCAAAGTTGAGCTCTCTTCGTTGGTCCAAAACTTTTGGTCAATGCCAGGGACGCCGGCTCGCCTGGTCCTTGTTTAGAGGGCTAGCATGAGTGCGACCAGGCATCTGATGTTGCCATAGTACACCCCAGTTTCACAATTTTGGGGGGGTTCCCCTCCAAAAGTGGTTCGGTTCCCCACTCAACCCAGGGACACCCCCTGGTTGACGAATTTTCGGGCCAGCATTACGCACTTCCGAGTGGCTCAGCCCGGGTTCGCCCAATGGGCCCTCGGAAGCCAGGACTCTGGGGTGAACACCCGGGCCCCTGGTGTTCGCTGTCCAACTTCCTGGGTAACGTTGCATGGCTGTACCCGTTTTTTGGTGGTTTTAAAGGGAAACCAAAAGGACGACCACCAGTTTGGGGCGTGGAAGGTCCTAAAAAGGACACACCCACGTGTGCAATGGTCAAAAACAACCCTTTGCCTGGTACTTAGAGTCATAACCCGCATTCATATTCTGACCATGACCACACTGCCAGAGCATCACAAGCTTACCCAGGCAAAACGCGCTTGTTGTTTTCAAAGGCCCCTTAGAGGGAAAGCCAAGTCGAAACTGGCGCAGGTGGCGAACATCCGGGGCGCCTCGGCCAACCGAATCTGGTTCGCCAATGTGGATCGCTTCTTCGTGGAGCCGCAGCTGCCTTTGGGCCCCGGAAGGTTGCTCCAGACGAGCCTGCGGAAGAGCTATCGGCAGGGGGGCCCAACGTGTAGCTGTCCCATTTTGGGCGGGGCGGGGCGGGGAGGGTGCAAATGTTAGGTTCTTGTTTGTTTGTTTGGTTGGCTGGCTGGCTGGCTGCTTGGTTGGTGGTGGTTGTTCATGGTTGGTTTGGTTGGTCGGTTTGTTGCTTGTGTGGTTGACGTGTGAGGTGTCCGTTGTTGACGTTTGCGTCTCTTCTGCATCCAGCTTGAGGGCGAGCCCCCATGCAGATGTGATGATGTATGTGATAGGGGGTACACTCTTAAGAGTACATTTGCAAAGAAGCATTGCCAAAGTCCCTGTTGGCCCTTTCAGTAAAAGGTTTCCACTACACGGTGAAATGCTCTAGGGATTATAGCAAGGCTTACTTACATCTTGGTAGAACCAAGAGTCAATGGGATTTTTCGCGTTGCTCAAGTTTACGATTTTGATGCAATGGCTTCACCGCTATTGGTCATCACCTTGAGCAGCATCAGCAGCAGCAACAGCATGGTATTATAATAGGTGCCCTCACCAAATTGCCGCTCTTCGCCGAGTTTCCTGGCACACGAAATCGGGGTAGGAATTTCGGGGTTGCCTCGATTGTGTTTCATAGTTTTATATGCGAAGCAGTGCATAGATTCCCTTTGCTGGCCTCATAGAACGGGCAGGTCATCTCGCCAAAAGAGGCACTCATTTCAGGAGTCATCCTGTTGGGCAAAGTTTAGCAAGATTGATTTGGTTTGCGACCTCACCCATGACAGAGGTCCAGGGGTCAAAGAGATTCGATGTACTTGCCGGGATGTGCAGCCTCTGAAGGATTTAAGACGTCCAATGTAAAGGTTCCCAAGGGAACCATTCAAAATGGCCTGCAATTCCTGGAGTCTTGACCCTGGCACACGCGAGCACAAAGCCATCCTACCGAGGCTCATGTGCAGGTTCAAGGCGACCTTCGTGCTGGACCAAGCGGCGCTGCAGGGCTTCGAGTGGATGCTCTGGCTGGACTCCGACTCCTACTTCACCGGCCCTGTGGAAGTGGACCTGGCCGAGGACGGCCTTCGCCAGAAAATTAGTGGCTAAATTAGTGGCTTTCACTGAAGTGTCCCTTGAAACACACAAAAACTAAATGAGATGAACCCCTCAATATTTATGCCCTCGACGATATGGGCACGCCCATGTTTTTTGTTTTTTGCCAGGCCAGGCAAATTCACTTGGTTTCTTTTGCGGGGAGCAGGCGTTTGCGAGTCAAGTGGAGTTTGCTCGTGCTGAGCCTTTGACTGGCTTTGCGGGTCTTCATTCGGTCATATATGCACTCATTGTGTTGGAGTGACAAAGTTGTTTTCACTTTTTGTTAAAGGTTTGCCTTCCAAGCCTTCTGCTTGCGGGCGGATATTGCTGAGCATCGTTTCCTTCGCCAGATTGGGGGATAAGCAGTGTTTAGTCGTGTTGAATCCCCAACGTGTTACTTTGGCCTCTGTTTGTCACGTTGCAGTTTGGGCCAAAATCGATAAACAACAGAAGCCATCCCCGGCACCATCGGAACACAAATTCACCAGAACAAATAATTAGCATGGGAGATTGAGGCACTTTTGAATCAACTCAAGTCATGAACACACAGAGTAATGTGTGTAACTAGTTGGGTGTTTCTTGTTTTAGGGGACACCCGAAACGGATTTCGATTTTTAAACCAGCCCTGAAAAGGATGCCAACTCCAAAAAAAGAGACTCCCATGCAACAGGCCGACGCAGGTGCCCGGGCGCACAGGAGTTGGCGCAGAATGGGGCCATCTTTGGGTTCACCCACGTGGGCCGCGAGGATCCCCCAGTGATCAAGCCACTCGGCGCATGCAATCGAGCGCGCGCTGGCAGCGGAGTCTGTCTGAGGTTGGCTTAAAGGGAAGCCAAACGGAAAGCCCGTGAAGGGGTTCCATCCTTAAAAGCAACCAACCCGTGTATTGCTGCCGAAACTGGGGTCAACCCACTGGTCTGACACAAACCTGTTTGTCTTCAAGAGGCGGGGGCCCCATGCGAGCACCTTGCAGATTGTTGCCAGCTTTGTCCCTCTCCCTCCCACGTTCTGTGATTGTTGATTGGGAATACCCTCCCAAATGGCTGCTGGACAGAAAACCGGATTCAAACAATGTTCACCGAAGGGTGCCAACCAACTAAATGTGCTTTCCACATGGTGGGTATACCCAAAACTTGGGGCTGCCAAAGAGAAGAGAACAAACGCGAACGCAAAGGTTGGATAGTGTTGAAGGAACAAAAAACAAACCAGCAGCGGAGGAACCTCTTTGACGCCGCGCTGCTGTTTGAGGCAGCGGAGCTGGGAGGCGGGGGTGGTTGAACTAGACTTGGCTGCGTTGTCGAAGCATGGCAGGAGGGTCCCTTCAAGAGGAAACGCGTCTGCCTTTTTGAGGCTCGGAAACCGTTTTGGGGTGTCTTTAAAGTCCCCTATTGAGTCTAAGGCGCGTTTAGGTGCTGGGAGGAAGTGTATCAAAACGGTCTTTATCCTTTGTGGAAATGCCCAGGTTCCCCTAACAATCAGAAAGGTACGCTCTTTGGGCAGGGGAGCAATAGCCACTCACTGGAGCGGAATGAGTCGATATGTGTCACATGTTTCACGGAGCAAATGGGTTGGAAGCAATCAAAGAAAAGGACCCGAAAAAGGACACCCAAATGAAAGAATGTATTGCTAGCAGAGCCGCTCGACTCCAATCGGGTGAACATGGTGTCGGACCCCTTGTGGTTTCAGCAACCCCTCTACCCGCCAGCCAAAAGACTTGACCACTTGCGTGGCGGTCAGTTCCACCCCACCCCAACGTTGCCCAACTCAACCCATGAAACTCTAGCAGTATTTCAGTGGAAGGCGGATGCGGATGCCGTTGGCCTTGATTGAGGCAAACAAGTGTGAAGCGACCATCAGCCAAATCAGGTCCAAGCCTTTTGACACCCAGCTTTGAGCCGTATTACCTGCTCCTTGGACTTGAACCAGTAAAGCGCCAAACTGCGCCAAACTTGTTCCCCACCTCGGCTTCCCCTTTGCAAGCGAACCCAAGCTGTTGGCCGGGGATCTGTTTGCTTTCGTGGCCCAATCCCTGCTGGAAACCACCAAATTGAGAATCTTTCTCCTGGACTGGATCTCGGCACCGGCTCACCTCCCCGCGTTCCACGTCCCATGTCTCCAGGCAGCAAGGACCGGCCCCCCGCGGCGCTGTCGGAAGACGAGGGCGGCGTGCCCAACTTCCTCCGCGCCTTTGAGGAGGGCTTCAGCCCGCCGGCGACCAACACCTACTACGCCCCCCGGCATGGCTGGGATATGGAGGGCGGGGGGAAGTTTTTGGTGGTTCGGTGGATAGGTTTGGGCTGGGTTTGCAGTTGGTTTGGGATAGGTTTGGGCTGGGAGGATCGTTGTAGAGTTGTTTTACGTGGCTTTCGGTGGATTTATGGTTGGCTTAGGGTGGATTTAAGATCTGGGAAGCCGGCTGAATTCAAGAAACTCGGTATACGAACTTAGCGACCCTGGTGCGGTACATATGTGAGCTGGTGTCTTGGAGTTTGTTGGGCTGTTGAAAACCCGGAGTCCTTTGGCACAGAAGAAAGGTTAGCGGCTTTAGCGAAAGCTCCACTCCCGAAACTTACCTGGAGCCTGCACGGAACCAAGCAACCAGCCACCAGTCATGGCCATGCCCAGACAAATCCAGTTGAGAAACACATTCTGGTAAAGAAGAAACCAAGGCCTTGCAGAAGGGTTGAGGTATGCTTAAAAGGCACCCTCCCAACAAACGTGGAAGTGACAGACTCTGTGTTCAAGAGGAATCTGATTTTCCTTCAAATGGGTTTGTGCACCCAGCCTGGGGTCTCCTCCAAAATTGCGTCGGGGTCAACAAGAACTAAAACAACATGTGAATATAACATCCCAATCAAACTCTGAAAAATCGTGGTTGTTTGTGGTTATTTGTGTACCAAGTAGGTGAGTTTTTGTGTACCTCCCTCCCCCCCCCCCGGTTTTGTGGGCCAAGTCGATAAAATTTGGGTTGAGTTGTTGTATAATTACCCCAGGTTCAAGCAAACATAGGCTGGCTATGTTGGCCTCGATCAATTCGAAAGGAGAGGATGCTGTCCATCAATTCCCCGCTGGATCGTGGCCACGTGCTGCCTTTCGGCTCGCCCGCCTGGAAGGCATGCCGACCCTGGCCCAGTCGAAGGGTTGCCGAATTCGCTCCGGGGGGAAAGAGGAAGTGTTGCTTTCAGCAGGTGAACATCTTTTATTGGGTGTGTCGCAAAATAAGGGGACCCCAAAAATGAGTGGTATCCTTTTGGTGTCCCACAAAAAGGGTACCCTTTAAAAAAACAGGCCCAATGTACTGTTAAGGGATGTTGTTGTTTTCTATTTGCCGCCTGCAAAGGGGTGGGTGCCGCTCACGGATCTCATGATTCTTCAAATCCCTGCCTTCAACAACGACGCCCTGCGCCGCTTTACGGCGTCTTGGCAGCAGAAGGCTTGCCAAAAAAGGAGAAAAAATGCACCTGTGGATGGGACACTGGGCCCATGATGTGTGGACCCTGGGCCATTTCTTAGGGGGTGGGGTGTCCTAGGCAAATGGCAACTTGCCCATTGGAGTTCACGGACATCCGGGGTTCCGGGAGGGGCTGTATCTCCTGTCAAACCCTCAATGCAGCCTTATTAAGGGCTCTTTTTATCCAGGGATAGCCCCCAAAGGTCCGTTGGTCCATGACCAAAGGGCAGAATCTGCCAAGGACTGGATAGATGAGTGGGGAGGATGGTGGCTATATCGCTGGGGTGACGCAGCGATCAGAGCAGTTCAAGTGTGGTTGATGCTCGAGGCGGGAGCTGCGGAAAATCTGAGCTGAAGTAAACTGCTCCAAGCCACTTCAGTCTGTCTCCAAATATGTGACCCCAAAATAGGCGCCATTGGATTCACTAAACCAAGGCCTTTGAAAGCCAAACCCACGTGTTGCAACCCCTTCGCGTGGTGTGTCTGGCCTTCTGGTTTCTTGCTTTCCCTGTGAGGCCAAAGAATGCTATGAGTTTTCAAAGCTGCCTTACGCGCATCAACACTTCTGCCGTTGCGGACACCCGGATCAGAACTGCACCTTCCTGGGCAGAGGTGCTAAGATTTTCAGGTGGAGCTGTGAGAGCTGAGAGACGGGAGTCGATCCGGGCGTGTCTTTTCTTGGGTATTTTTTCGGGGCTGAAGCAGAAACGAAAGGAACATCACCCGGCTTTCAGCAACATAAAGTGGGGCTTCGAGAGAGCACCTACGCCATGAGTGCTGTCAAAAAACGATTGCAACAAAACATGATATTGTACATAAGTTTACTAATATAAGACAGTTCAAGAAAAAAGCGAATCATGAAGGTAAACTACGGATTGTTATAATTGTTGATCAATTGCTGTTTGTTTCGGAGTTTAAGCAATGTTCCTCTATAGCCTCAATACATCGCTGCGCCGGAGTCCGCGAAATCTAGGTGATTTTTCGCTGATTCGGCTCTGCGGCACCTGTTCTTTGGCTAGCGATTGCACAGCTTTTTCTTCGCGCTTGTAAGTCCTCGAAAGTTCGGAAAAATGGGGGACTTACAACTGGATAGTTGAGCGTGTCTGTAGCGAAAGGAGGTCAATATGTCCTGATATTCGATGTTGGTGGTGGAAATCGGTATCGACCCACAATTCTCGAAAATGTTGCACCCATACGCTAACAGCAGTCCGCAAAATTTATTGAATTATGCGAGCTGTTGCTGCCAAAGTGCGGGTCTTGATGTTCGGCTCTCGATTCTCCAGTCTGATTCTCCACTGCGATTCGTCGCTCTCGATATTCGCTGTTTGCATGGTTACTCTGCAATTCAAGACTCATATCGCAGCTTTTGATTTTCCACTTGTGACTCTCGACTCGCGATTGTAAAGGAACCGAAAAAGGTTGGTTTGGGTCGGGTTGAATTGGACCTTTTTTTTTCTATGATGGATATTATTATTGGAATTAGTGGGAATGGGTTTAATAAACAAATATTAACATGGGAATGTAGATAGATAAGGAATATAGAAATATTTGTGAATAGAATAGAGAATTGGATAGAAATATATATTATGATTGTTTGATATATATATATATAAGAGAGATAGATGGATATAAATGAATTAAGTCGGAATGAGAAATATATATTTGTTTATATATTTTATTCTTGATGTTTGATTGAAAAGAATTGGATGTATTATAGATATATATATATATATTGATATAAAAATAATTAAAAAATAAATGTATGCTAGTTTTAATCGTTAAAAATTAATTTGTTGTTGGTAGAGTTATTATTTGAATTATGAATAATTTGTATTAGAGGGAATTGTGATTTTTGGTATTTTGATTTTAACAAAAAAACATATTATAAGGTATTTTAAAGAAAAATATGGGAGAATTTAATTTTATTTTAAATATATAATATTGATTAATTAAAAAATATATTTGATATTTTGTATTGATAGTTTATTAAATTATGAAATTATATTTATAGTTGTTTACTATTTTATAAATATAATTGAATAATATTTATATTAAATCATGATTGGCTTTGGATATACATGACTATATTTCTTTTTTAATTTTGTATTTTTGGAGAGGCGGTATAGGAAATATACCGAATATGAATATATGTGTGATGATTTGATATATAGCTTAAAATATTGGTTACGAGCTGTTGATTTGGAAAAATATGGATGAATTGGCTATCGAAATTTTTCGATTTCTTGCTCGCATGGTGGATGAAAAATATATTTTGTGTTTTGGTATTATATGGATTTAATTTAAAATTCGAATCTTATTTGAATTATAGAGAAATTAATATTTGGCATGTGAAAGGTATTAGGAGATGACGTTTGGTCGCACAAATAGGTGATTTTGGAGGTGTGCTTTTAAGGATGATGAATTGATTTCTTTGACTTTATCTATTGTTTTTGATGATATGGCGGTGTCCTTTATGATTATTTCCCTTAGTTTGTGTTTAGTGGAATTGTTTTCTTTGAATTATGAGGAATTTATATCTTTTGGATCGAGATTCTCGGTCTTTTTTGTGTGTTTGGTTTGGGTTTCGTTTTCGGAGCGGGGTGATATAATCTCCGTGCCTAAAGTGGCACTGGGTTGTGAGTGAGCGAGATTTTATCTCCCGTTTTTATTTTATCGTTAATGTCCTGTCCTCGAGTATCTCGATTTGAAGATTTGGTATTATAGATTGTTAATCCTTTTGCGGACTCCTACAGCTTGCTCAAGATTATTATGGTTAATATAATTTAATATATATATATGATTAAATTTTAAATTATTACAAATTTATTTCTTTAATTATTATAATATTTATTAATTTAATAATATATATATTAATTTAAAATTTAATATATGTATCGAAATAATAAAATATAACCGTTTTATATTTCTTATAGACCGTTTATTCAAATCTATCCGGGCTACCCCGGCTATAATCCGGAAGATATAATAATTTCAATATGTTTAGAATTAATTCCGAAATATTCTAGATATTTTGGGGAAAATCGAAATATTATTGTCGAATTATTGAAATATCTGGGATATTTCGGAAAAATGGTCCGGGCTTTGAACGAAGGAATTGTCTTTTCTAAACAAAGAATCGGGATATATATCTGCCTGCCCGTTGCCATTTTGGCTGAAATCTTGCGCCTATCTTCCTAGAATTTGGCCAGACGAGAAGCTGTGAGTCGTGGCCGATTGTTGCGACCAAAGGGGGGTTTTCGAATATTTTGAGCGAAATTAGTTCGGCTTTACTTATACCCAGGATATATTCTGGTCGATTGCATTTTCGTTTGCGTTTAGAACAATTGTATATTTAGATGGATCTTTTCAGGCCATCAACTTTCTCAAACGACCGTCTTTTATTACCTCTTTGGCAGAACCTTTTCGCGACCAGCCCGGCCCTCAGTGCATTTCGCGACTTGTGCTTGGAGAACGGCATGCATTTCGCATACGAAAAATATATGTTTTTTAATATGTATAATAAATTATATTAGTGCTTAAGTTACAATAAAAATTGTTCTAGAAGATTTGTTTTATTCTTAATATACCCACCACGGCCTAGACCTTGGCCCCTAAAAGCTCGGCTCACGCGATGCTTTCCGAAGAGTGCGTGAAGCTTCGTGAAATCGTGTCTTTGCGGACGCTCTAATCTCGGTTTATAGGTTATTTTTAATGAATTAGAATATACTAAAATTCTTTCTTATTAGAGGATGATTAGCCCGAAAGCATTTTTCCACAGGTGCGTATCCAGCCGCGGAGACACCTTTTTACATCGCTACGGCGAGCGTATCTGCGCGCGGCGATGCGCGCAAGTTACTCTCTGCAAGTTGCTGCGCGCAAGTGCTCTGTGCAAGTTGCTCTGCACAAGTGTTCTGAGCAAGTTGTTCTACGCAAGTGCTCTATGCCAGTTGCTCCGCACAAGCGCTTTGCGCATGTGCTCTGCGCAAGTTAGTCTGTGCAAGTTATTGTGCGTCTACTCTATGCAAGTTGTTTTGCGCAAATATTCTGAGCAAGTTGCTCTGCGCAAGGACTCTGTAGCAATTGCTCCGTGCAAGCGATTTATGCATGTGCTCTGCACAAATTGGTCTATGCAAGTTGATCTACGTAAGTGCTTTTTGCAATTGCTCTGTGCAAGTTGCTCTGCGCAAGTTCTACCGGAGCAAGGGAGTGTGTTCCGCATATTATTATGTTTGTACTTAAAAATTGCGATGCTTCAGCCGGAGCTACGTGGGTATGCTCTACATACTACATTTGTATTTAAAAATTGCGATTTTTTAGCCTGAACTACGGGAGCATCTTCCGCATATTACGTCTATACTTAAAAATTGCGATTTTCCACCCGGAGCTACAAGAGCACGCTCCGTATACTACGTTTGTATTTAAAAATTGCGATTTTCCAGTCTAAGCTATGGGAGCATGCTCCACACATTATGTCTATACTTAAAAATTACGATTTTCCAGCCGGACCTACGAAAGCACACTCCACACATTACATTTGTACTTAAAAAATACGATTTTCCAGCCGGAGCTGCAGGAGTACCACAACGAGAGCGCTTCGACATGCACAATCTCTGTAAAGGGTTCGCCGAAATTAAGACATATTCGCACGGCGCCACAACGAGAGCGCTTCGACGCGCACAATCTCCGCAGAAAGTCGCGCACACACCACAAAAATCGTAAAAAATCCTCAATTTTTAAACCTCGACCACGCGAATCTCCGTAAAGAATCGCATGCGCGTCGTAGAAATCGTAAAAAAAATCCTCAATTTTTTAACCTCGACCATACGAATCTCCGTAGAGGGTCGCGCGCGGCCAGCAGAAATCATAAAAAATCCTCAATTTTTGAACCTTAATCACGCAAATCCTTGCCTAAGGGACCGCCTTTCACTGATTATATGTGTACACATTGGTATCGGGTATTCGAGACATATTTTTGTTTTGTTTATCGTAATGTTTTAAGAAATATACTAAGGTACTACTAAGAAATTCCATCTACAATTCGCCTTTAGATATTTGTATCTCTAGCTTAATATAAAATACAATCTTTAGAATCGTTTTATTGGGCAGGGTCCAAGGCAAAAGCTCGAGATTAATTTTAGTTACCGCTCGAAGCTACGAGGCTTATAACGGTATTATAGCGAATTATATTCTCTCAAAAATATTAATCAGAGACAATCAAATATATATTCCCCAAGATAAAGTAGGCCAAAGATATAGGGGCTGCATGTGTTTTTTCGATTATCCAATACCTTATATTTCTAGATACCAACCATTCGCTCTCATGTCATGGCTACTGTCCCTTCCTTCTCCCTCACGTTCCTATCCTAGATTGTGTGGTGGAGGGAGAAGTGGGAAGGAGAGAAGCCATGCCATTCATCTCTTCATATCACTAACCCTTCTATCTGTCTTTTCTTCCATCGACAGCAGGGAGATGAAGGAAGGGTTAGTGAGGAAGCGGCTGGAATAGCCAAGACAAGATACTGCAAGCCCCGACCGGCGAGGGAGAAAGGAGGAAGGAACTAAGGAACGAAGGAACCGAGCGGAGGCAATCTTTCTCTTCACCATCCAAACCTTTCATGCCAGGCGTGACGTCGCTATTATCTCCTTCTTCATTCCTAAGTCTTGGTTAGAGGATTTGGAGATGAAAAGAAACGATAGAAAGAGATATAGGATCCTAAGACATAAGAATGCAGCATATAAAAAGAGAAGCCGGAAAGCGGTGTGTTATGGCTTTCCTAGCCGTTCCATGCCTTACCCCACTCTACATCCTATCTCTTCCTCACATCTCCATCAAAATCCTTTAAGATGCGGGATATGGAAAGAGATGGATAGGAACGGCAAGCCTTGGAGATAGACCGTGAGTTAATTCCTTGTAGTTATATCCCTTCTCTCCCGATTATTCTCTATCCCTTTAATCGTCGGATCTATTCCTTCTATCTCTATCACCCAATTTCCGGATTCTTTATGTCATAACTCCCGGAAATTGGGGGAGCGGGGGAAACTCCTAAAAAAAAGAACAAAATGAAAATGTGCTACAACATAATATGTATCATGTAATCCTAGATCCACTACAATATTTCCTAGAATTATTCCTATTAACCCACCCACAGTAAACATTAATAAAAAAAGAAGAAAAAAGAAAACATAAATAATTCTAAGGTATAATAAAGAAGGATTAGAAAGATATGTAAACCAATTAAAGATTTTTATACCAATTAGTAAAAATATTAAGATTATAATTCCTGTAAAATAAGCTCTTATATCATTTTCTAAACCTACAATATAGATATAATATCCCCAAACAAAATTTCCAAAAAGAAAAATAAATCACATAGCAAAGATCATTATATATTCTATTAACATTTATTTTGGTTTTTTGGATATTTAGAAATATATATTTTAATAATTCCTATATTTAGTATTATTTCCATAATATTTTTTGGGATTTTATAATTAATAATTTTTGCTAAGCAATTAATAAAAAAATATCGTCCAAATATATAATTATGGTTTTATTTTATTTCATTTCAAACACAATTAAAAAATAACCAACCCAAATTATAATATATAAATATATCATAAAAATATAATTAAATATATACTAACGGGGGCCCGCTGCTTTCCAGCAGCGTGCGAAATGAAACCCATAACAAAAGAATAATAAAATCAAAACATGGAATAAAAAATAATTCCAATTTAAATAATTATAAATAGATAAACAAGAACAAACAAACCGAACAAATGCTTAACAAAACGCGGTTTCGGAATATTTCGAGAAAATATATAAATTGTATGTCGGAAAGGATTGAGCAGCCCAAGATTGAAAAGGCATTTTAGTCCTTTGTCCAGGCTTCTCATTATCTTATTCGGTCTCCTTTTTGCGAGACCCATTCGGGCCACCCCTACTACATAATTTGATCCAGGAGCTCAACCTAAAAGGTCTTTCTAACACATATAATAACTTATACAATTATAGAAATTCTTTCAAATACCCAATACCAACATATAAACATTTAGTCAATGAAAAACAATCGCCTAAACAAAGAAAAAAACCATAGATTATTATACCTCAAAAAATCCATTCCCATATTTTTAATATTACAATATAATATTTCAACCAAAATAATAATATTATATATAAATAAAATATGTTTCCAACCTCCCAAAAAGATTTTTCATAGAAATATTCGTTCCATAACAAACCATGCCAATACAAGTTCAATCAATCTAAAAAATTATATATTCGATTTTCTTAATTTCTTCATCTCATCATTAACCTAAATATTTTATCACTTAAATACCCATTTATACTACCCTTTTTTAAAGCTAAATCAAAAAAACATCTCGAAGAAAAAAACATAATTTCAATTCTAAAACAAATCATTCCATTCCTCTAAAAAAATATTTTGTTTCCTCTATAAATCTTTCAATCAAAACAAACAAAAACACAAAGACACAAAAACACAAAGCCACAAAGACACAGAGACACAGAGACACAAAGACACAGAGACACAGAGACACAGAAACACAGAGACACAAACACACAGACACACAGACACACAAACATAAACACAGACAGACACAAACACAAACAAACACAAACAGACAGACACAGACAGACAGACACACACAAACAAACAGACAAACAAGGAAACAAATACCAGAAACAAAGAGACCAACAAACAAAGAGAGACAGAGCAAGACACCGACAAAGAAACAGAGACAAAAAAAGACAAACCTTCGGCGCGCAGCACACACAAACAAACAAACAAACAAACAAACAAACAAACAGACAAACAGACAAACAAACAGACAAACAGACAGAGACAAAGACACAGACAAAGACACAGACAAAGACAAAAACAAACACAGAGACAAAAACAGACACAGACACAAACACAGACACAGACACACAGACACAGACACAGACACAGACACGCAGACACAGACACAGACACACAGACACAGAGACACAGAGACACAGACACAAACAGCCACAGACACAGACACAGACACAGACACAGACAGACACAGACAAAGACAGACACAGACAGACAGACACAGACAGACAGACACAGACAGACAGACAGACAGACAGACAGACAGACAGAGAAACAGATACCAGAGACAGACAGACCAAAAGACAAAGAGAGACAGGGAAAGACACCGACACTCCGGCGCGCAGCGTGCCGGATTCTGATGTCGACATGCCACACACAGGCTTCGCCTGCGCACGTGCACGCGTCCGACTCCGAGCCCGAGAGCCGTGATGCAGACGGGCTGCAAGAACGCGCGTGTGAGCTCTTGGCTGCGCGTGCCCCAGTTGCACGCGGCGGCTGGCCGCCTGTCCCCTGGCGCCCTTGCCCTGTGGAGCGAGCCAGTGCAAAACGGTTTATCACGCGCTTGTCTCGGCGCTGCCCCGCCGCTCCCGCGGCCAGGAGGTGGTTGCAGGACTGCTGATCGCATCGCCAAACTCTCGGAAGATGGGCCAAGATTTCAGCTAAAAGTGCTACGGACAGGCAGATATATGCCCCGACTCTTTATCTGGAAGACACAACGGCTTCGTTCAACGGCTACGGATGGGAAGATATATACCTAGACTCTTCATCTAGAAGACACAACGACTTCGTTCAAAGTCCGGACCATTTTTCCGAAATATCCCGGATATTTCGATAGTCGCACTCCAGACCATTTTTCCGAAATATTCCGGATATTTCGACGATGGCATTTCCCGAAATATTTGGAATATTTCGGGAAAATGGTTCTTAAAATATTCAGAATATTTTAAGAAAATGGTGGGTGGCTGCGATTCCCGGACCGCTTTCCCGAAATATCTGGAATATTTCGGGAAATTGGTCCCTACAAAAAATGAAGCCACTATGTCTTCCGCACATATGCCGGGGTAGCCCGGACAGATTTGGGCGAGCGATCCGTAGGAATTATGAAGCGGTTACATCTTCCCGGGGCAGTCCGGACCAATTTTCCGAAATATCCGGGATTTTTCGGAAAAGCGGTCCGGGAAAACGCGCGCAAGTGCGACGAGCAAGTTTCACGGTTTCGCTTTATAGAGTAAATATAAATTCATTTTAATTAAAACAATTATCAACATGTATAAAATTAAATATATATTTCTTAATAACCTAAATAAAACCTAAAAAATTCAAACATAATCCTATCCATAGAAATTATATAAAATCTATC